GTTTCATAATTTTAATAATATTTGCAAAGTGCCTTTGGCCATGTAACATAACATATTCATGGGTTTTAGGAATGAGGGTATGGGAATCTTTGTGGAGCAATTATTCAGTCTACCACAGAGGTAGAATATGTCTCCCTGGCAAACATGCCAGCTTTGTTAAGAAAAGAAAAAACATAATTCACCATTGTTCTCCTGATTCTTGTCTATATCTGCCCCAAGGGAAAATCCTGGTTTTCCATTGTGCCTAGGGGCACCTATACACGTGCTCAGCTGTACATGTTCATCAGGTGGTGGGTAGCAGAGACTCACAAGTTATTTTTTTAACAGTGCATCGAAAGAAAGAAGAAATTTTTCAGTGTCTTGAGATTATAGAGGTCATTGAAAAGGTCAGTGCAGAAAGGTGTTATTGAGTGCAGTGGAGTGAACCCTTCTTGCTGAGATTTACAGGATCATTTTGAAAATTAGTGTGAACCCAGGTTTGAAATTACCTGTCACATATAGACACTAGGAACTTTTGTTGATTAGCAAAGACATTTTATATTCTCGGAAACTCCTCCAAGACTTAAGAGGGCTGTTGTCACAACAAATGTATAATAGTAGCTTTTATTGTGCATTTACTATTGGAATAGTTAATTGGACAGACTGCAAGTGTTCATACACTTTGTGTCTAGCTTTCCATCCTTGGTTCATATGGAGACTACATTGCCAGTCCACTTATAGTTAGGAAAGGTCATGTGACTACCCTTGACACTGAAATATGAACAGTAGCATGTTTTCTTCCTTTCAGATTAAAGTGTTTGAGAGCCAGTCTGCCACCTCCATGTTTTCTGTTCCATGCTAAGATATGGAACCACATTATAGAAGCAGCATGGATCCCTGGGACACCTAACAGAAAAAAAAAAACCCTATTAATTTATGTCAAATTTTATTTGCATAAACTTTTAGTGTGTTAAGCCATTCAGATTTCAGACTTTTCCCCTTACATCTCTTACATACTTTATCGTGTAATGCACAGCTACTAATTCCATTGTTATTCTTATTTAAATATTTTAATTACAAAGAAAATAGTGCACAAATTCTTGTTGCCAAAAATTCTAACTACATGAATAAATCAAAATTTCACTTCCTTACTATGTCCCTCCAAAATCCAATCCCTCCTCAAATGTAACCACATATTTTAAATCCTGTAGGTAGTATTTTTAAATGTATTCTAGGCTTTTTCTTATATATATGTGCTACAAAAATACACTGTGAGGGTTTTTTGTTTGTTTCTTTTGTTTGCTCCTTTTTCTTTTTAATTTTTGTTTATCAATACTATTATTTTTAGAGATGGTGTCTCTGTTGCCAAGGCTGGAGTGCAGTGGTGTGATCATAGCTCACTACAGCCTACAACTCCTGAGCTCAAGCAATCCTCCTACCTCAGCCTTCAAGTAGCTAGGGGTACAGGTGGAAGCCACTGTGCTTGGCCACTGTGGGTTTTAAATATACATTGATAACTGTTTACATATTGCTCCACAATATGCACCTAAGGACACGTGCCTTAGAATTTTTATATTTCAGTAATGCATTTCTCTTTACTTTGAGAAGAAAGGATTTACTCAGAATGGCAAGGTTCCAGGAAATGTGCCTTAACAGGAAAACCTCAATTCTTGAAGGACATCAGCAAAACTGAGCACTAGAACAATATGAAGAATACATGAGAGAGATCACAAACTAAACAAAGTCCAGAGAACTCAGGGCAGGGGGTAGTCAGGGATCTGTACCCAGAGTTCAGCATGGAGTAGCAATGGGACTAGAAGGAGTAAAGGTAAGAAAACTGGTGGTGTTTTGGACAGCTTTTATGAATAGGCTTGGCAATCTCTGAATCATCATTACCAGCATAAATTTGTAGGCTGACCTGAAATATGAACAGTAGCATGTTTTTTTTAGTAGGCATACTCTACTAGAGTCTTCCCTTCCCACTTTTCAGGCACAGTATGGCTTGCTCCCCTGCATCACCCGGTTATGATATTAACTGATTCTGGGAGAGCTACATCTCTTCACTTCCATGGTGGTTCAGTGCACCCTTTCCAGTGAAGCAGAGTTGAGAGCTATCTTGATGCCTGATAAGGAAGAGTATATATTCCCCTTGGGTATGTGACCCTCCCACCACTGAGGTTGAAGCTGTACAAGTTGATGTGATGGGTGATTAATGGTAGTTAAAACAGGGCAAGTAATACCAATGAGTAGTGCCACAGTGTAGATTTAAGGAGGGGGACATTTGAGGACAGATTTCCTGAGACTAACTATCTCACTGACTGTAACTAAAAGGTTGAGTGTGGATATGTCTTTCAAAAAGAATCCAGATGTTATCCCCAGCTCAGAATACTTCCCACCATCACTGACTTCTTTGAAGAACAGAGGGCAGATTTTTGGTGCTGTGTCTGATTGCCTTTGATGCCACCAAACACTTTAGCAGGGTGCTGGTTTTCAAGGCAAGTAGGGCAGATGGAGAACCATTGTACATGCTACAGTTCCTTATTGAATTGAATGCAGGTAACAAGTATAGATGTAGCCCAAATCTCTATCTTCATTACTGTTACAATCCTGACCTGATTTAACTCAAAATTTTTATAAAGAAGGATTCTTCACTAGCCATCTGCAAAGTTATCAAATGATCCGTAGTAAAATTTACATCACTTCTCACTGTGAGGTGGGGGCATTGGACTGGGTGTCATTCTCCTGGTCCTTTTCCACAGAGGGAGGAGTCCCAGACTGAAAGGAATAAAAATGAAGACCTAGATGAAGCTTTGAGTCACCCACTCCATAACAGACTGCCCAGCACAGAGACCACCCCTGCTGTTAACATTGCTAAGCCAATGCCTTGATGTTAGGTCCAGAAGCCTCCTCACTTCACCCTCTGTAGTCTAGGGATATGGGACTGCAGGATGAAGTGGTTGGGGTTGAAGGCTTTGTTTTGAAGCTGAGTGACTCAGATCAGAAGAAGGAGTTCCAGTCCCACTTCCAGAATCAATGAAAGACCCCTATGCAAGTTCTGTCAGAATCCCCACTCCCACAAAACATGGGCCATCCCCTCACTTCTAAGAGCTGCACCCCTGCTCTCAGCATTAGATCCCATGTAGGGGTGGCTAGAATTGGCTTCCCAACTCTGACTCTAACTTCTCAGATGAATGAAGGCCTTATGCTTTGAGAAGGGTAGCCTCAAATCAGCAGAAAAGAGAGTTCCAGAGATTTCCAGGTCCTGTCAGGAGTTAAGTTAAAGATCTTAAGTGAGATCTGAGGGCACTCTTTATACCAGGAGAAGGGCCAGCAGAATCCCAGCCCTGTGTAAGTTCTGGGATGCCCTGAACAGGGATCCTCTGATGTAGTGCCCTGTGAATTCCCAGAATTCCAGGAGGTGACAGCATTGAACCACACTTTGGCATCAGACCAGTAGGGAGCGTGGTTCCATGCCTTCCAACAGTGATGGCGAAGACCCTAATATTTGAGGCAACCATCCACACCAGATCAGAAGGGCCCCACAGCATCCAGGCTCCTGCTGTCAGGCCTGAGAAGCCCATGAAGGGAGTGGCCAGATATAACATTCTGAGTTCCACCTCTGGAGTTTTAGGGAAGTTAAAAAACTGGTGCCAGAGGGAGGTGTTAAATCAGCAGAGGGAGGAGTCCCAGGCCCTGCCAGGAGGTGAGATAAAGACCCTTTATGAGGTTTAAGGGTAATAGCCACACCCTTGCTGTTAGTGGTAGCAGACCTTGGGCAAAAAAAACCTCTTATATAGTACTCTCTGAATTACTCCTTTGGAAATTCAAGAAGAAGACAACATTGGATCAAGGTTATGGCCTCAGGCCAGCAGATGGAAGAGTCCCAGGCCCCAAAAGAAGTAAAGGTGAGGAAACTGAGTGAGATCAGAGGGAACCACCCACCACAAAAGAGAGGGGTTCATAACAGAGCCTGCCCCTGCTCTCAGCCCAGGGAGGCCGCAGGTAGGAGTGGCTATTGTGACATATTCTGAATTCCATTACTGCTTTCTCAAAGAAGTGAAGAGGTTTAGGTTGTCATAGGAGCTATTTCCAAGCCTTGCCCAAAGATCTTGAGTGAAGTTTGAGGGAGACTTCCACTCCGAAAGACTGGGACCCCATGGAACCATGACAGGTCCAAGACAGGGCCTGATGAAGCACCCTCTGAATTCTGGTGAGAATTCAGGGAAGGGAGGGCATTGGACCTGAGTCTCAGCCTCTTGTCAGCAGAGGAGGAGTCCCAAGCCCTAAAAAGAGGAAAAAGAATCCTGAGTTCTAAGGGAACCACCCACTCCAGATCAAAAGGGGACAGCACAGGGTCCCACCTATGCTGTCAACCCTGAGAGACTGTGGGGTAGATATGTTAAGTTGGGGTCTCTTTCACTATCTCCTTTTGGATATGAAGGCCTTGCTCTGAGGAGATAGGTCTCAGGCCATCACAGGGTAAAGTCCCAGGCCCCAGCAGAAGCCAAGGTGAAAACCCTGAGTGCAGAATGAGAACACCAAGGATCCCAGAATATAGGAGGTGCTTCAGAGCTTTTCTACTGTAGTCATCCTGGATGTCTTCAGGCGGGTGTGGTCAGATGAATTTCTCTTTCACTGTCTCCACCAGGGTAGCAGGGAAGTGAGGGGACTGAAATGAGGGGTCAGTAGAGTAAAGGGATCCCAGAATTTGCCAGAAATCAAGAAGACAGTTCTGAATGTGAACTAGGAAGAGTCCCTACCCAAGAACAAAGGGCCTCCATAAAGCCTGGACCTGCCAGGCCTTGCTGTCACCACCCAGTAAACCCCAGGCAGATCTGGCAGGTAGCAGCCTAAAACACACCCTAGTTATTTCACAGAGTACTCGGAGCAGGCAAATCAAATAGGGGCCTGTTTTTCCTTGAGTAACGCACCAATAAAATTTGCAGAGGTGGTCGTCAATAAAGCTAAAGTTGTATCTCTCTGCTGAATGGGCATACACCAGCTCATCTTCTCGCCTCCAGGTCACAGGATCACCTGCTCTTTTGGCTGCTGCACCTGAAGACAGTCATCATGCCTCGAGGTCAGAAGAGTAAACTCCGTGCCAGGGAAAAAACGCCGTCAGGCCCAAGGAGGGCTGGAAGATCTGTTAAGTGCTTTGGCCATTTTAGAAAAGGAGGAAGAACATCCCCCCTCCTCTTCTGTTTGTTTGAAGGATGTTTCCCAGCATTCACTTGATGGGACATCCAACAATCCCCATGGACTTTCGGGAGGCCCATCCGCCAGTACATCTGCTATGGCTGTTTCACATACAAGACATACCGAAGGTTTCAACAACCAAATGGAAAAAAGACCAAGATGCACACAAGATCCAGCAGTCACTGATAACTTTCCCAGAGGCCTTCTAGGTGAGAAAGTAGCTATGTTGGTGCATTACTTGCTGTTCAAGTACCAAATGAAAGAGCCCATTACAAAGGCAGATCTGCTGAGAAATGTAACCCAAATGTCCAAGAGCCAATTCCCTATAATTCTGAGCAGAGCTTCTGAGCACCTGGAGCTGATCTTTGGTCTTGACCTGAAGGAAGTGGAGCCTAATAAGCACATCTATGTTCTTGTCAACAAACTGGATCCTGGCTGTGATGTAGAGTTTAGTGATGAGCCAAGCGTGCCCAAGACTGGCCTGCTGATGACTGTCCTGGGTATTATCTTCACAAAGGGTAATTGTGCCACTGAGGAGCAAGTCTGGAAAGTGCTTAATATGATGGGATTACATGACGGAATTGAGCACATCATTTTTGGGGAGCCCAGGAAGCTCCTAACCAAAGATTTGGTGAAAGAAAATTACCTGGAGTACCAGCAAGTGCCCAATAGTGATCCTCCAAGCTATCAATTCCTATGGGGCCCAAGAGCCCATGCCGAAACCAGCAAGATGAAAGTTCTTGAGTTTTTGGCCAAAATAAATAATGCAGCTCCCAGTGACTTCTCACCCTGGTATACAGAGGCTTTGCAAGATGAAGAAGAGAGAGCCAGAGCCAGAGCTGCAGCTAAGGCTCACATTACTGCCGTGGCCCATGCACGTTCCAAGGTTAAGTCCAGCAACCCCTCCCAACTGCAGTAAAGTCTGAGGCAGATTGTTTACTTTGTGTTTGAAAAGAAATCCACATTCTGAGCTGTGGGTGGTCAGGGTGGGGCTGGAGACAACACAGTGAGTAATACGTTTGTGCTCATGTTCTATGTGGTGACTTGGAATTTTTTAAGATGTTGTTCCTTTAATAGATGGTTAAAGTATCACCAGTATCTAAGTTTATGAATGACATTGCTAAATTTTTCTGTATGTGAGATTAAGAGTAAGCGATTTATTGTTTTATAAGTCCAGTTGGGAATCTCTTCATTTATTTAAGGATTGAAACACAATAGCATGGTAGTAAATTAGGCATTTTCTAATTCAATGTGAAATAGTTTAGGAGTGTAATAAATGGGATCAAGAAATAGAGAAAAGAGTGAAGGATGGCTAATTATTGCATTCCCTTTTGACTTGTGTTCTGTTATTATGTAGAATTATAATATATATGCCAGGATAGGCTTACATTATTCAAGAATATATAATTAATGACATTTTAATAAATTAGACCTTTTACACATTGGCTCATTTATTCCTCAAACATTAATTGAGCATCTGCTCTTTGGAAGGCCTTGTGCTAGGATGTCAGGACAAGGAAGATCTACCTGTGCCCATTGGGTTTTAGAATCTAGGAGTAGATATTATATAAGGAATATGGTGAGATAACCACTAAGACCTAAAGGACAAGTTAAAGAAAGTCAGAATGTAGGAGGAGGGTTATCTAGATGAGAGCATGAAATACAAATGCCTTAAGGCAAGTGGGATTGGAGGCTTGGAAAATTGAAAGTCTTTCAGTGTAAATCAAGTGTGTGTGTGTGTGTGTGTGTATGTTTCTCACTCTTGTCACCCAGGCTGGAGTACAGTGGTGGGGTCACAACTCACTTCAGCCTCAACTTCCTGGGCTCAGGTGATTCTCCTCCCTCAGCCTGCCGAGTAGCTGAGACTACAGGTGCATGCCACCATGCCTGGTTAATTTTTATATTTTTAGTAGAGATAGGGTTTTGCCATGTTGCCCAGGGTGTTCTCCAACTCCTGGACTCAAGCAACTGCCTGCCTCAGCCTTCTGAAGTGCTGGGATTACGGGTGTGAGCCACTGTGCTTGGTTGGTCAGATTAGGCTCTGAGAGTGATGAGCACTGACTATTCTCTCTGAAGACATGTCCAGGGTTGAAAGACTAAGGTCTGGAATGGACAAGAAGTTATAGCACTTGCTTGGGCTTATGGATAAACCAGAAGGAAATCTTCATCTGGGACAGGAATGAAAGGTTTCCTGTGCTCCCCTAACTCCAATGCAGTTGAACACAGACCACAAACCATGTGTTCTACGCACAGCATCTCCAGCAAGTTTCTGAGAAATAAGAGTAATACTGTTTTAACATGGGATGCTCAGAAGCCACTTTACTAACACTCTTTGCTCTGGCCTGGGAAAGACAGAGCCTGTGTTATTTTATTTTGTGTTGCTATAATAGAATGCCAGAGACTGGGTTACTTTTAAGGAAAATAATTTTTTTCACAGTAGTGGAGGCTGGAAAGTCCAAGATTGAGGTGTTTGGTGGCACCTAGGGAGGGATGCCTTGCTGGGCCATCCCACGGCAGAAAGTGAGGCAGTGAAAAAGAGAAAGCAAAAGAAAAAGGGATCAAATATACCTTTTTGAAACAAACCCACTCTTGTGATAAAGATATTAATCCATTTATAAGGGAAGAGTTCTCATGGCCTAATTACTTCTCATACCACACAATACTGTTGGATTGGGGATTAAGTGTCTACCACTTGCCTTTTTGGGAGACACATTCATATCATGGCAGAGTCCGTTCTATTAATAGGGTATTTATACTAGGTTATCTTGAGTGTAATTTGGCGAACTCAAAGCAAGGGATAAGTGTTTTGATGGGAATGAATGAGGAAGTCCTTGACACATTTTCTAGGAGCATCTAGCTGAGCTGCATCTAGCTCGGGAAGATTCTTCCAACACATAATATAAAAAATGTATATCCTCAAAAAGATTCTTACCAAGTAAGTAACTTTCTCTTGCTAAGAAGTATTTTGATTGATTTGGTTTTCCATGTCCTAGAGGGCTACATAGTCTCTTAACATCTCCAGGATGAAAAGCAAATTAAAAATTTCCAAGAGGGAAGGTTGGTAGTGTTTGCAATCTAAAATAGAATAGTAAAACTTGTTAGTTATCAAAAACCCAGTACACACTAACACTGTGTCAGCTGCCCTACACAAATATCTTACATTCTACAAGTCAGACTTCACAAGGTATACATGAGCCAAAGAACAAAATAACTGCATCAAGCCCAAAGAACTTGAGGCTCATAGAACTTTGCAGTTTTCGAGTTCACATATTAGTGACAGGGCTGAGATGAGACCTCCTGGTCTGAATTCCTCTACGGCCCACACTGTTCCACTCCTCTCAGCCTGAAGCTGATCTTGGGTCTACTAATTCATTTATCTTCTCGCTACTCCACAATGTCTCTCAGACAAAGGAAAGAAAGACCCTGTGGTCAAAACACTAAAAGCAGGCCCTAAAAAGGAAGGTGAGAATGAGAATGAGACACAATCTGTGACTGTCTGTGGGATTCACTGGCCTGGTGTACTCCCACCTTTAGCCCCAGATTCTTCTGCAGCTAAGTCTACCCTGGTCCCTTCACATGGGTTCGGTCTAGCACTTTCCTACATTATCCTGTCCTTCCCCTGATTCTTCCCCAGTGTGTCCTTCTGCCCAAACTGGAACGGACTTGCTGGCCAGCTTCACTGTGTCCTTCTCTGGAGCCTGCACTTGCTCCCAGAGGAACAGACAGCCCAGACTTGCCTACCTTTTCCTGGACATAGAAGCTTCTAACTGCCTAGAAGTCCCAACCCTCACCTTGGATTCCCATAACAGCAACAGCCTCTTCTGTGTAATTGCTCACTTCAAATAGTAAAGCTTAGATACTGCATCATCTCTAGGAGCCTCCACCACACTCAAAGTGTTTTCAAATCTGCTGGTGAGGAGAGTCTGTTTTGGCACAGAGTTGACTGATATTTTATCCTGAAGCAGAGATATAATCCTAAAGTAGAGAAGAGGTTTTAGAAAACAGGTGAGATTGGAGAGAGGTTTTAATCAGGTGACTTTTTGAATGTTGCTACTAAATCTATACACTGATGAATGAGCCTAACTAAGCGCCAAAATTCAAAGCTTCCCTCCTAGATGTTAAATGAGGAAAGACGAAGGAAATCACCATGAAGCAACCATCTGAAGAGGGTGAATTCTTATAAATTCTGTAGTCTTTCCAGAAAGTTGTAGTAGTTCTCTATGGTAGCTGTACAAAATTACCACAAACTTAGTGGTTTACAACAGCACACATTTATTATCTTTGTAGGGTTTATTGTCTACATTTCTGTATGTGTGAAGTATGGAGCTGTTCTGCTAGAGTCTGTACTCAGAGTTGCACAAGGCTCAAATCAAGCTTTCAAGTTCAGTTACATAACCTTTAATGCTCTGCAAAGTGCCTGTGGTCATATAACAAAGCGTATTCATTTTTCAGGGATAAGGGTATAAGCATCTTTGTGAAGCAATTATTCAGCCTATTATTGATGTAGAAAATGTGTCTTTGGCAGACATATCAGCTTTGATAAGAAAAAAATAAATTCACCATAATTCTCCTGACTTTTGTTTTTATTTGCCCCAAGGGAAAGTCCTACTTTTCAATGTGTGTAAAGACACAGTGTACAAGTGTTTAGGTGTGTTAATCAGGTGGTAGCAGAGACTCCCAAGTTATGATTTAGACCACGCACTAAAAGGAAGAATACCATCCTCCATATTTTCAGAGTATTGCAAAGGTCAGTAGAGAAAGGTACTATTTAGTGATGAGAGACAAAGGATCATTCTTGCTGAGATTTTCATGGCTCTTTAGAAAATTTGTGTAATCCTACATTTGAAAACAACTGTCACACAGTACCCACTAGAAAAATTTTTCAAATTGCAAGGCAATTTTGGCCTTCTCAGAAACTTCTCCAAGAATAGAAATTGTTGTCAAAACAAAGTTTTATATTTGCTTTTTATTGAGCACCTAATAGGTAATAGATTTTGGGAGAGGCTGCAAGTTTCCATCCACTTGCTTTGCTGCCCTTCCCGGGCATGTGGGGAGACTATATCCCACAGTCCATTTGTTGTTAGAAAGGGCCACTGAAATATAAACAGAAGCTATGCTTGTCATTTTCAGGCCAAGGCATTTGAGAATCAGTATGTTAGTTCTATGCTTTCTGGTCTATTCAGCAGCAAATATGGAGCTGTCATGATGAGATGTGGCACCACATGATAGAAGTAGCCTGGATCCCTGGGTCCCCTGACAGCAAAGACCCCCGTTAACTCACATCAAATTTTATATGCGTGAAAAATAAACTTTTGTTGTGCTAAGACTTTAGGATTTCAGGCTTCTTCCATTACTTCCACTAGCAGTGACTATCTGAATATTGCACAGCTATCATTTCTGTCATTAGTTTTACTTAAATATATTAATTACTCAAATATTCTTGAGGCTTAAGAAAATTCTAACACTATGGATAAATCGCAATTCTATTCCAGTGTTCGGTTTCTCCAAAATGTATTCCCTACCAGAAGTAACCACCATTAAAAACCTTGTATTTTTATTTTTATATATATTCTAGGCATTTTTCTTATGTATATGTGGTAGAAAAAATATTGTGAGCTTTTAACGTATATGTATACTAATGTACCTTTTGTTGTACCTGTTGCGTTTGTCACTAAATAAAATGGATGCAGGAACTTTCCACAAGAGCACATATACATTCCCCTCACTGTTTACTACCAAGAATTTCAAAGGACGTATGTGTCATAATTAATTTAATAGTTCTTCTACTAATGGATGCATAAGATGTTTTCCATTTATTGCTATCACTAATCAGATTGAAATAAACATTACTGAACATGAATTCTTGGGCAAATGTAGATGTTTTATTACAGGAAAGATGTAGAAAAGTACAAAATCAGTTACAGTGGAAAGAATGTGATGATTGTCAATTTTTTGAATATTACTAAACTTTCATTCCAAAAATGTTCATGGGTGTTTTATTTGATCAATTTTAAATTTGCAGAAAATGTTTAGTCAAGTTGTATTGTTTCACTGCTATTTCAATTTTAATTTCCATTTTCTAAGTAGGTTGAACAGAAAAGAAACTTAATCCCTCATCCATACAAAGTGAGACATCTGTAGTGATGTCTTGAGTACTAAGATTTCTCTGGGCATGTACTTTATAATTCTGATATGTCAAGAAAACATTTCTCTTCACTTTAAGAAGAAAGAACTTGGTCAGAATGACCAGGGTCCAGAAAAGGTGCCATGAGAGAAAAACCTCAGTTACTGAAGAGCATCAAGAAAACTGGAGACTGCACCAATTTCCAGAACCCATAAGAGAGATCACAAGCTAAACCAAGTCCAGAGAATTCAGGGTAGAGAGTGGTCAGGGATCTGTTTCCAGAGTTCAGCATTGGATAGCAATGGGACCAGAAGGAGTGAAGGTGAGGAAACTGGTGATGTCTTGAACAACTTTTATGAATAGGCTTGGCAATCTCTGAATCATTACCAGCATGAAATTGTAGGGTGGTCTGAGTAGGCAGATCTATTGGATGAAAGGCCCAGAGGCATGCTCTGTTAGACTTTCCCCTTCCCACTTCACAGGCAGGGTACAGCTCACTCCGCTGCATCACCCAGTGATGATTTTAATTGATTCTGGGAGAGCTACATCTCTTCACTGCTCTGGTGGTTCAGTGCACCCTTCCAAGTGTAGCAGGGTTGAGAGCTGTCTTGATGCCTGATAAGAAAGATTCTATCCTATAATGGAAGATTGTAATGAAAGATTCATTCCTGTAATGGAAGATTCAATCTTTCTTATCAGGCAACAAGACAGCTCTCAAACCTGCTACAAGTGGGTGGGAAGCTGTACAAGTAGGTGGGATTGGTGATTAGACAGTTAAAACCGGGCAAATAGTACCAATGAGTAGTGGCACAAAGTGTGTCACTGTAAGGAAGAAGAAACCGAAGGGGGAGTTCTCTAAGACTAACTACCTCACTGACTGTAAGTAAAGGGTTTAATATGGACATGTCTTGAAAAAGGATCCACATGTTATCCCTAGCTCAGATTGCCTCTCACTTTTCCTGCCTTCTTGTTACAACAGAAGGAATATGTCCTTTGTCTGTGTTTGGTGCCCTTTTCCCACCAGATACCAAGTGGTGTAGGGGCTGGTCTGTTATGCAAACATTTTCAGGGTGGATGGAGAAGCAGTGTAAATGGTGTTAAATGGACTGGGGATGACAAGTTTATGGTGAGACACAAAGATATTTCTTTATTCTGGTAATTACCCAAGCAGGCATGAATTGAAAACAGCAACAACAAAAAGTTTCTGTACTAGCCACTCTCAAAATGTCATCACCTGGGCTGGATATAGTGGCTCATGTCTGTAATCCCAGCACCTTTGGAGGCCGAGGCAGGTGGATCACGTGAGGTCAGGAGTTTGAGACTGGCCTGGCCAACATGGTGAAACCCCATCTCTATAAAAATACAAAAATTAGCTGGACATGGTGGTGCAATCTTGTAATCCCAGCTACTGGGGAGGCTGAGGTGGGACAATTGCTTGAACCCTGGAGGGGGAGGTTGTAGTGAGCCAAGGTCAAGCCACTGCACCCCACCCTGGGTGACAGAGCAAGACTCTGTCTCAAAACAAGAAAAGAAAAGAAAAAAGAAAAGAGTCCCTGATCAGTAGTAAATGTAATAAAATCTAAAACTGTGACACGAAAACTGTGGACCACTGTGTCAGACTCAGGCCAGCAGAAGGAGAAATCCCAGCACTAACATAAGTAAAGGCGAGGACTCTGTAGTTTCTGAGGAAACTGCCCAGTGAAAACAGACTGGCGGCACAGTGGCTGGCGTCTGCTGTCAGTTCTGGGAGGCTCTGGCATAGCTGTGAGGCTCAGGAACCTCTTCACTTCGCCTTCGGGAAACGAGGGTGATATGAGTAGGATACTGGTTTAAGGCTGGTTAACTCCGGTAACTAGAAAGCTACCCGGCCAAGAGTCACTAACAAGCCCCTATGTGAGTTCTAAGGGAATGGTGCAACCCAGAACACTATCAACGCCACAGCACTTCGCCCCAGTCCCAGCCCCAGAAACCTCCATTTTTTCACGGAAGTGTTTGCAACCCGATATCCGTTCGTTCGGTCGCAGGACGTGAAAGCATCTGAGAGTGCCGGTGTCCAGTCACCTGAAGGAAGAGTTCCAGATCCTGCCTGGAATTAAGTAAGGACCCTGAGTTAGGCGTGGGAGACCACCCACTCCAGACTAAAGGGGCTCGGAGAGAATTCCGCCCCTACGTTCATCTCTAATAGAAGCCAGACAGGAATCTTCTGATGTAGCGACCCCAGGGACTTTTAAATAGTCCCTGAGGAGACTGAGCCAGTGACGGTTTTGGACTGAGGAGACAGCAGGGGAAGGTATTGGACTGAGGACACAGCGGGGGAGGGTATTGGACTCAGGAGACAGTAGGGGAGGGTTTTGGACTCAGGAGACAGCGCGGGGGGGGGGGGTGGACTCAGGAGACAGCGGGTAATTCTATTAAACTAGAGTATGGGCTTCAGACCAGCAGAGGGAGAGTTCCAAGGCCCTAATAGGAGTAAAAGCAAAGACCCTGAAAGAATAGGAGTAAAGGGAGCCCCTCTCCCCCACCCCGTTTTTAGAACAGAGGGGCCTCGCAAAGTCTCGCCCTTGCCATCAGCGTTAGGAGACCGCCAAATGTGGGCAGAAGGACCTGAGGCACATGGACTCTCACCTCTGGTGTTGGAGGGAAGTGTTGGGGCAAGGGCGGGTAGCATCATTTACATTAGTCAAGGGAGGAGCTTTGAGCCCTGCCTGGAATTAAGGTAAAGACCAAGGGTTAGGTGTGAGGGGACCCCCCACCCCAGACTAGAGGGGCTCTCAGAGAGTTCTGCTGCTGCTTTCAGCTCTGTTAGAACAAAGACAGTAATAGTGGGATGTAGCAACCTGTGAGTACCTTCTAAATGCCCCCCCACCCCCAGGAGAATGAGTGGGTGAGAGTATTGGACCAGGGTATTGGCTTCAGAGTAGCAGAGGGAGAGTTCCCAGGCTCTAATAGGAGTGAAGGTGAAGACCCTTAGTGAGGTCTGAGCAGACCCCCGAACCCCCAAGCACAGAGGGGCCTTACAGAGCCCTCACCATAGTCTCAGCCCTGAGAAGCTAAGGTGAATGAAGGTGGATTGATGCAAAGAACCCTGACTTCTGCCTCTAGTGTCTCAGGGAAGTTAATGCCTTGGAATGGGTGCAGAGTGATATCAAGTCAGTAGCAGGTTGATTCCCAGACTGTGCTAGGGGTTAAAGTGAGAATATTGAGTGAGGTCTCAGGAACCACCAACCCCTAACAAAGGGAGCTTCATAAAGCCCCACCTCTGCTGTCAGCCCAGGGAGGCTTTGGGCAAGGCATACCCACATTGTCCTTGCTGGGGGCTCTGTCGGGGGGTGGTCAGGGAGATGAGGTCTTTAGTCTGAGAAGGGCAGCTTTGTGGCACTAGAGGGAGGAGGCCAATAGTTTTCTGGCAGTTTGTGGTGTGGACACTGAGTAAGGGCTGAGAGGATTGAGAGGATTACCCACCCCGGAGCAGTAGGTGGTCAGAGATCCCTACCCAGAACTTGAAACCTGACTGAACCTGGAGCAGATATATTAGGCTGTAATCTGCCAAATATTCTCCTTAGGGTTTTCAAAGATGTGAAGGCTTTGCCCAGAGGAGATCGTTCTAAGGTCAGCAGAGGGAGGAATTCCAGGCCTTAGGAAAAGTAAAGGTGAGATCACTAAGTGAGAACTGAGAACACTGATTACCCCAGGATAGAGAGTCCCAGAGAGCTTGGCCTATGCTTTCACTCTCTCTGTGTCTCCAGGCAGATGTGGTCAGATGAGGTTTCCCTGAATTCACCTTCTGGGATCACAGAGAGATGAGGGCTTTGAAGTGAGGGGTCAGCATCAAAGTAGTAGATCAGAGGGATCCCGAGTCATTACAGAAGTGAGGTGATAATCCTTAATGTAAACTGAAAGACCTCCTGCCCCAGAACAGAGTCACTTCTCTAAATCCCAGTAAGTCCTAGGCATATCTGGCAAGTAGTGACAACTTAAGTCATACCTTAGTTAATTCTACAGGGTTCTTAGGGAACAGGCAGATCAGGGAATAGGGCCATTGTGGGATTCCTAGAGCAGTGACTTCAAGGAAAACTGCCAAGGTGGCCTTCAATAAAGTTACGGAGGTGTCTCCCAGTTGAAGTGACCCAACCATCCTATCCTCTTTCCTCTAGGTCACAGAGGTCACCTGTCTTACTGTCTACTGCCGTGTCTAAAGCCATCATGCCTCGGGGTCAAAAGAGTAAGCTTCGTGCCCGTGAGAAACGCCATCAGGCTCAAGAAGAGCTAGAGTCTCTGATGGGTGCTCAAGCCACTACAAGAATGGGAAGAGAATTTCGCTTGTCTTCCTCTGCTCATTTCAGTAGTACCACCCAGAGCTCAACTGCTGCCGAGACAACCAGCAATACTCACTGGCCTCAGAGAGCCACATGCACCACCACTACTGCTGCAGCTGTTTCAAATGTAAGAGCTAATGAAAGCACCAACAACCAGATGGAAGAAAGGCCAAGATCCTCACAGGCCCCGGCTGCCACTGAGCACATGACCAGAAGCCCTCTAGATGAGACGGTGTTCATGTTGGTGCATTACCTTCTCTACAAGTATCAAAAGAAAGAGATCATTATAAAGGCAGATATGCTGAGAGATGTAGTCCACATTCCCAGGAGATACTTCAGAGAGATCATGAAGAAAGTTTCAGATCACCTGGAGATGGTCTTTGGACTTGACCTGAAGGAAGTAGATCCAGATAGGCGCATCTATTTCCTCATCAACAAACTGGTACCAACATGGGATACAAAACTGAGTGATGACAGACATGTGCCCAGGTCTGGCCTGCTGCTGACTATCCTGAGTGTGATCCTCTCAAAGGGTAATTGTGCCACTGAGGAGCAAATCTGGCAAGTGTTGAATGTGATGGGGTTATATGAGGGGAGGAGGCACTTCATTTTTGGGGAGCCCAAGAAGATCCTCACCCAAGATTTTGTGAGAGAAAATTACCTGCAGTACCAGCAGGTGCCCAACAGTGATCCTCCATGCTATCAGTTTCTATGGGGTCCACGAGCTCATGCAGAAACCACTAAGATGAATGTCTTGGATTTTTTAGCCAAGATCTATGATAGTGTCCCCAGTGCCTTCCCAGCCTGGTATGAAGAAGCTTTGAGAGATGAGGAAGAAAGAGCTCAAGCCAAAGCTGCAGCAAGGGCTCGCATTAGGGCCATGGCCAATGCACATTCCAAGGCCATGTGTAGCAGATCCTCCCACCCCCAGTAGAATTCAAGGCATTCTTTGCCTTGTGGCTGAAAGGAAAAGTCTACATTCCAGTCTGTGGAAGGTTAGGGTGGGGTTGGAGGCAACACAGCGTATAACATGTTTGTTTTCTTGTTCTATAATACGTTTCTGGATAGTTTTTCAAAATATCGTTTGTTTATCAGAAGTTTGAGTAACTTTAGAAGATAAGTTTCTGAATTACATTACTTAAACATTGCTGTGAATGTAAGAGTAAGAGTTTTATTATTTTGGGGAACAAATTAGGAACATTCCATTTTAGTTATTTGAAACAAGATCATATGGCAGTAGATTTAGTATTTTCTTGGAAATTCTAGAGAATGCAGCATTGTAAGAGTTGGGATCAAAAGTGGAGAAAAAATGAAAGATTGTAAATGGCTGATTTCACTTATCACTTTTAGTCTTTTTTTGTAAAATCAATGTATATATACATACCTGGATATGTTTTGTTTATTCAAGAGTGTAGGAGAAATAAAATTATAATAAATTAGACCTCCATCTCAGGGTTTTTTTTCCCCCAAACAATAATTGAGCATCTACTCTGGATAGCTTGTATTAGTACTTGCAATGCTAAGACAAACAAGAATCATCCCTACCCATAGACATGAAAAGCCTTGGAGTAGCTAACATGAAAAGAATATGGTGCATGGCTTAGTTCAGATTGCTATCACAGATTATTAAATTGGGTGGCTTAAAGATCAAACATTTATTACTCATAGTTCTGGAAGTTGGAAGTCTGAGATCGAGTTTTCAGGTGAGGTTCTCAGTGGAGGCTCTCTCAATGCTTAACAATCTCCTCCTTGTATCCTCACATGGTAGAGAAAGCTCTGGTCTCTTTTTCCCCTTGCAAGAGCACTAATTCTATTGATGAAGGCTTCACCCTCATAACCTAATTACCCCCCAAGGCCCCACCTCCAAATGTCATCACATTGGGGATTTAGGGTTCAACATGAATTTTGGGGGGACACAATCATTCCATCCATAGCAGTGAGACAATCCTAACCAAAAGGACAAATCAAGAGAAGGTGTGAGGACTTTGGGGTTTCAGAAGAGCAGCAAAATGTAAATGCCCTGTGGCAAAGGGTTGGGGTTGGGAAACTGCAAGTCCTTCAATGTGACATAATTTTAGATTAAGCTGAGTTGTGGGTCAGATAAGCTTCTGGGAGAGGTGGGCAGAGGCCAACACCTCAGAAGGTGTGTCTCAGACTTGAGAAGGCTGGAATGGAAAATTGCTTTAGGTCACGAATAAACCATAGAGAAATCTCCACCTAGTGCACAAATGGAAGACGTTCTGTACTCTTATCTCAGTGTGGGTGAACACAATGCACAAAAAGATGATTTAACAAACTGCACAAAAATGTGATTTAACACCTATCACCACAGGGAGTGTCTGACAAATAATGGTGATACATAAGATGGAATGCTCAGAAGCCAGGGTGCTGGCAATCTTTGCAGTGATTTGGGAGAGGCACAGCCCATCCATTAAATGGGCATTTCAACTAGGCGATCTTGTATATAATTCGACAAACTATAGACTAAAACTAGATGTTTATGGGGTGAAATAAATGCAAATACGTGTGGTTTGGAGCAAAGGGCAGATGGAAGGGAGGGACTGAGGTAGACATTGACACAATTTCTAGGAGCTCTGAGTTGCATCAAACTGGATAAGACTCCCCCACATCAACAATAAATAACATACCCTCAAAAAAGTTGTGCATGTAACTTAGTTTAACCTGCTAAGCAATATTTTGACTGATTTGTTGTGTGCTAGCGGGCTGAAAATTATCTGACATTTCCTGGGTAAAACAAAACAAATGAAAAGACGGGAAAGTGGTAGGATTTGGGGTCAACATACTGTAATAAACATATAGTAATAACTGTAATTTATTAAAACCCAATACAAGGTAGTGTGCCAGGTGCCTTGCATAAATTAGATACATTCCAACATTTCTACTTTACAAGGAATACATGAGCCAGGGATCAAGAGGACTGTTTATCAAACCAACTTCACAGATGAAGAATTTGAGGCTCGTAGAAATCTGCAGTTTTCCTGAGTTTCCCTAGATTATAAGTGATAATAGATAATACTGGGACTAGACTACTAGTCTGAATTCCTCTAGAGTCCACATTGCTCCCACTCCTCCTTGACTAAGCTGCCTTGTGGCTCTTAATTAGTTTCTCTTCTCATTACTGCACCATGTCTCCAGGAAATGAAAAGAAGGAACCTGGGGCCAATGTACTAAATCCAGATGGAACCTCATTTCATAGGGTCCATCATCCCTAGCTCCAAGGTTACTTAGGAGCTGATTTTGCCCAGGTGCTGGCACTTGGGACCAGATCCAGCACTCCCCAAATTATACTGCTCTTTCCTTGAGTCATCCCCTGTGAGTTCTTGTGCCCAAATCTGGATCCTGATCTGCTGTCCAGCTCTTCCCTGCTTCCTTCCAGGAAGGCTGCACCCTGCTCCCTTCCATGAAGGCTGCACCCTGCTCCCTATGGAAAAGGAAGCCCAGAATAACTTTCGTTCCTTTCTCCTGAAGTTGAGCATTCCAACTCCCTGCAGATGTCCTCTGTTTGCCACATCACTCATCTTGCAACTTCTCTGATAACAACAGCCCCTTCCATGTAATTGTTTATTTAGGCAGTGAACTTTATGTACCTTCTTATCTGTTCTGGGTGTTTCCACTGCAATAAAATATTTTTCCAAGTCTGCTGTGAGTTGAGTCAAATTTAAAATAGAATCTACTACTTCTTGGCATGTAACTCTGAAGCTAAAGATGTTAGACAGAAAATCAGATGAGAAAGAAAGGAGAATTTAATCTGGTGATCTATTTGAGACTAGTCATTGATGAATGAGCTTAACTAAGTGGCCAAAAACCAAAACCTCCCATATAAGTGGTAAATGAGGTAGGATCAAGGAAGTCATGTGTTGCAACCATCTACAAAGATTGGACTCTAACCATCACTGTAGTCCTTCCAGGAAATTGTGGTAGATTTCTACTGATGCAGCAACAAATTACTGCAAATTAACATTTTACAACAACACGCATTTATTATGTCACATCTCTGAGTGAGAAATCCAGGTTGGCTCTGCTGATCTCTCTCCTCTGGATTTCACAAGGTCCATACCAAACTCTCAGAGCCTGTACAAGGTTCTTAATGCAAGGTTCTGGGATGAATTCCCTTTATAACTCATTCAGGTTTTTGGCAGATTTCAATTCTTTGCACTTGTAAGACAAGGGCCCTATTTTCTGATTGCATTCGTCTGTGGCAACCATAATTTCTTGAGACCTTTCTCTAGTCTTTGCATTTATCTTGTGTCAGCAACTGCAGGTTGAATCCTTATTATACTTGCCATCTTTCTAACTTCCTCCTCTGCTGTATCTCTTGTATCTCTTTTCTACTTTTTTTTTTTGAGATGGAATTTCACTCTTGTTGCCCAGGCTGGACTGCAATGGCACAATCTTGGCTCACTGCAACATCTACCTCCAGGGTTCAAGCAATTCTCCTGCCTCAGCCTCCTGAATAGCTGGGACTACAGGTGCGTGCCACCATGCCCATCTCTTTTCTACTTCTATCTGGAGAAAATCCTCTACATGTAGGAGCCCATGTCATTAGATTGAGCCACTTTGACGACTCAATACAATCTACCCAATTTAATAGTGGTTTTCCAAAGGAATATAAATCATTCTATTATAAACACACATGTACATGTCTGTTCATTGCAGCACTATTCACAATAATAAAGATATGGAATCAACCTGATTGCCCATCAGTGATAGACTGGATAAAGAAAATGTGGTACATATACACCATGGAATACTATGCAGCCATGAAAAAGAATGAGACAATGTCCTTTGCAGGGGCATGGGTGGAGTTGGAGGTCATTATCCTTAGCAAAGTAACACAGAAACAAAACCAAATGCTGCATGTTCTCACTTACAAGTGGGAGATAAGTGATCAGAAAACATGGACACATAGAGAAGAACAATATGCACTGGGGCCTTTTGGAGCGTGGAGGGTGGAAAGAGGGAGAGGATCAGGAAAAATAATTAGTGGGTACTAGGCTTAATACCTGGATAATGAAATAATCAGTACAACAAACCCCCATGACAGAAGTTTACCTATGTAACAAAGCTGCACTTGCATCCCTGAGCTTAAAATAAAAGTTTACAGTAAAATAAAATTAAATTAAAACGTGGTTTCACAATCTTAATAGATCTGCAAAATGCCTTTGGCCATGTACCATCACATACATATGTTTTTCAGGGATAAGTGCATGGATATACTCTTGTAGCAATTATTCAATCTACCAACATTGTAGAAAATGTTTCCCTAGCCTTCTAACCTTTATGAGAAATGTAAAAATAATCTCCATGTTTCAGCTAACTCTTGTCTATATCTGCCCCCAAGGGAAAATCCTGGGTTTTCATTTTGTGTAAAGATACCTGTATAAGTGTTCAGGCATATTCATCAAGTGATAGATAGAAGACACTCAGAAATTATGATTTCGATCATGTAGTGAAAGAAAAAGGAAATGCTCAGTAGATTAAGACTATTGTAAAGGTAAGTGGAGAAAAGCGCTATTGCATGAAGAAGGGTAAACTATTGTTGCTGGTAATTCTTAAAGAGCCCTTTAGAAAGTTAGTGTAATTGTATCTGGGCGTGGTGGCTCATGACTGTAATCCCAGCACTATGGGAGGCTGAGTTAGCAGGATCACCTGAGGTCAGGAGTTTGAGACCAGCCTGGCCAACATGGAGAAATCCAACCTCTACTAAAAATACAAAAATTAGCTGGGTGTGGTGGTGCGTGCCTGTAATCCCACCTGCTTGAGGGGCAGAGGCAAGAGAATCGCTAGAATCTGGGAGGCGGAGATTGCAGGGAGCCAAGATCCTGCCACTGCACTCCAGCCTGGGCGACAGAACAAGACTTTGTCTAAAAAAGAAAAGAAAGTTGATGAAAACACCTATTACATAGTAGGCACTAGAAAAACGTAGCCAGTTGCAAGGCAATTTTGGTTTTCCCAGAAACTTCTTCATGAATGAAGAAGACTTTTGTCATACAAATTATGAAAGTTGCACCTCACTGATCACCTACTATGTAACTGTTTATGGAGTTTGCAAGTGCTAGTCTTCCTGGACACAGGGTGAGACTACATTCCCAGTTCACTTAGAGTTGGGAAGGGTTATTTGACTACCCTTGCCACGGACATATGAAGAGAAAGAACACTGCTACACTGTAGTGCACTGGCCAAACTACAATAAAAGCAGCCTGGATCCCTGGGTTGCCTAACAGTGGAGCCCCCCTGTTAACCCACATCAGATTTTAAGTGCATGAGACAGAAACTTTCGTTGTGCTAAGGCTTTCAGATTTCAGGCTTCTTCCATTAAATCCTCTTGCAGTTACCTTATATGAATAATACACAAGCACTATTTCTATTTTGTCTTATTAAAAATTTTA